AAGTAAAAATCTGCTAAAGATAATTTTTAAATTACTGCAATAATACATTGGCAGGGAACTGCCTGAGGTTCAAGCCAGATTCAGACAAGGACATGGAACAAGGGATATCATTGCTGATGTTAGATGGATCTTGGCTGAAAACAGAGAATAACAGAAAGACGTTTAACTGTGCTTTATTAGCTATGCAAAAGTTTTTGACAGTTTTGACAAGCTATGAACATCATTGAGAAGCTATGGAGAATGAGTATCTTGGGACACTTACTTGTGTTAATGAAGAACCTGTTCATAGACCAAGAGGCAGTCATTCAAGGACACTGAATGATTCAAAATTAGGAAAGGTATGTGCCAGCGTTGTGTTCTCTCACCATACTTATTCAATCTGTATGCTGAATAAAGAATCCAAGAAACTGAATTATATGAAGAAGAATGTGGCATCAGGACTGGAGGAAGACTCATTAACAACCTGCAATATGCAGATGATACAACCTTGATCGCTGAAAGCCAAGAGGACTCAAAATATTTACTGATGAAGATTAAAGACCATAGTCTTCAGTATAGGTTGCACCTTTAATTAAAACAAAAATCCTCACCACTGGACCAATAAATAATATCGTGATAAACTGAGAAAAATTTAAAAGTTGTTGAAGACTTCATTTTGCTTGGATTCATAATCAATGCTTATGGAAGCAGCAGTCAAGAAAACAAACAATATACTGCATTAGGCAAATCTGCTGCACAAGACCTCTTTAAGTGTTCAAGAGCAAAGATGAAACATGAGGCTTTCTGCTCCCAAGATGACTTAAAGCCTCGGAAACGCTATGCAGGGTCACTATGAATCGGAACCAACTCAATGGCCCTTAGCAGCAACAGCAATATTGTGACTATGACCATTTTTATGTGCTTATTTTTTCAGTGTGGACATTTTTCAGTGTGGACATTTTTCAGTGTGGACATTTTTCAGTGTGGACATTTTTCTTGTGTGCATTTATGTGAGCTTTTTTCATGTGTACTTGAGGACTAAGGTGCGCCGGACCCAAGCCATGGTATTTTCAATAGCTTCATATGCATGTGAAAGTTTGAACAGTGAATAAGTAAGGCCATAGAAGAATTGATGTATTTGAAGTTATAATGTTGGAGAAGACTGTTAAAAGTCTGATAGAAGAACAAACAAACCTTTGTTTCAAGAAGTACAGCCAGAATGCTCCTTAGAAGCCAGGATGGTAAGACTTTGTCTCTCATACTTTGGACATATTATCAGGAGGGACCAGTCATTGGAGAAGGACATCATACTAGTTAAAGTGAAAGATCAGTGAAAAAGAGGAAAACCCCCAATGAGATGGATTGGCACCGTGGCAGCAGCAACGGGCTCAAGCTTAACAACAATTGTGAGGATAGGATAGTACTGGGCAGTTTTTCATTCTGTTGTGCATAAGATCACTATGGGTCAGAACCATCTTGACGGTCCCTAACAATAACTAAGTAAGTGCACCCAGAGCATGCTCTGCGGTGCCATTGTGGCTGGCAGTAGCTTTCTATCCTCTGCTCAGCCCCGTGTGACTCCCCTCCACCCCACTTTCTGTCTCTATGCATTAGCCTATTCTAGATACAAGGCGAAGTCAAAAAGTATTGCTAAGAATCATGGAAACCTCTATTAAACAAAAATATGCAAAATGTGAAGCTATTGTTTCTCAATGCGTCCTTCATCTAGGTCTGTATACTTCTGAGGGTAGTGTTTCCATCTCCCTAACCCTTCCCTGAGGGTCAGAGAAAAGGAGGAAGACCCCAGTGAGACGGATTGACCAAGTGGCAGCATCAATGGACTCAAGCGTGGCAACAATGGTGAGGTTGGCCCAAGATCGGGCAGTGTTTCGTTCTGCTGTGCATAAGGTCGCTGTGAGTCGGTGCTGACTCGATGGCACCTAATAACAGTAACAACCCTTCCCTAAAATATTCTGCACTCTTCAATTAACACCACATCAAAACAGCAACTTGAATATCTTTGAGGGGTTCAAATTGTGTTCCTTTTAAATGTTCTTTGAGTTTGGGGAACAAAAGGAAGTTGTAAAGGGTCAAAATCCTGAATGCAGGGCGAATGGGGGAAGGTTTCACGACAAAGTTTTGGTAGAACAGTCCTTGCTACCATTAAAGAATGAGTCAGCACATTGTTATGATGGGAAAAAAATTCCTCCACACAACTTTCCTGACTTTTTTCTTATCAATGCAGTTTTCAATTTTCTTAAAACTTCCTAATAATCCCCTATGATCCTTCTGTATCCTTTGAGAAAAATCTATCAAGATGACCCCTTGTTGTTGTTGTTAAGTGCCATTGAGTCGGTTCCGATTCATAGTGATCCTGTATAGGATTTCGAGATTTTAAATCTTCAAGGGAGCAGAAAGCCTTATCTTTCTCCTGTGGAGTGGCTGGTGGGCTAGAACCATGGACCTCATGGTTCACAGTCCAGACTTATTGTATGAAGCCAGAAAAGTCACCACGATCTTCTGAGCTGATCTCTCAGCTTTGAATTTAACTGGCCCAGCAGATTCCCTGGGAGTGGACTTTTTATTTTACTTTTTTAAAAGCACCCTAGGAGTCTTGGCGTGGCGCTGTGGATTAATGAGCCAGACTGCAAAGCCGTTTGAACTGCAAGGTGGGCAGTTCAAGCTCACCAGCTGCTCCTCGGAAAACCTATACAGGGTCGCAACCGACTCGACGGCACTTCACAACAACAAGGGTCTTGGTGGAGTCCTGGTGTGGCACTGTGGGCTAATGCATCAGACTGCAAAGCCATTTGAACTGCAAAGTCAGTGGTTCAGTCTCACCAGCTGCTTCTTGGAAACCCTGTACAGGGTCGCTATGGGTGAGAATCGAGTCAACGGCACTTAACAACAACAAAGGGTCTTGGTAGAGTCCTGGTGTGTGGCGCTGTGGATTAATGCACCAGACTGCAAAGTCATTTGAACCGCAAGGTCGGTGGTTCAAGCTCACCAGCCGCTCCTCGTATGGTCGCTATGGGTCAGGAGTGACTGGACGGCACTTAACAACAATGAGACTAAGATGTATATTCCTAAGAGAATTCGTCTGCAACCATCTAGTGACCACAGAGACATGTTTAAACACGATTTGTTTGGAATCAACTTGTGCATGTATCAACTGGAACCCTAGTAGCTATCCTTGTGATGGAGCCTGGCATTTTATAAAAGTGGAATCAGATAGTATTTGTCCCTTTGTGCGTGACTTATTTCGCTCCGCATGTTTTCAAGGTTCATCCGTGGTGTGGCATGTGTCAGAGCTTTATTTCTCTTGATGGCTGGGTATGATTCCATGGTATGGATGGAGCATTTTGTTTGCCCATTCATACGATGACAGACACTTGGGTTGTTTCCTCCTCTGACGTTGTGAGTTATGCAGCCAGGAGCAGAGATGAGATTATGGCCTTTATTTCATGCATGATACTAATCACGTTGTTACCTATTTTTGGACTCATGATTGTCTATCAACAAAACAAAAAGGGACCCAGTGGGCTTTTCTGACCCCGAGGCCCCAGCCTGTCCTCTCCACCAGGTGCCCATCCTCCTCAGAGCTGGGAGCCCCCTTGCCCACACTGGGCAACCCCCGAGTCGGCATACTTTGCCCACACCAGGGAGCTACCCAGTCTCATTGCTGCTCACCCCAAAAGACCAGCCCTGAGTGGTGGGCAGAGGTGGGTTTTTGCCCCATCAGGGTTTCGGCATCCCAGCTGCCTCTGACTGCAGCTGGAACCTCAGCCTCCTTTAGCACCCGCCCCATTCCATCCCCTGCCATGGCCTACCTGTGTGGTGGGCTGCTCTGAGGTCAGAGGGCAGGTCAGCACCACCTGCTGAGGATCTGGGTCATGTGATAAATGGAGGATGGACGATTGGCCAAGCACGTTGGTCAGGTCCACCTCTGGGAAGAACCATGTGGGTCATCCTGCACTTCCGGCCCTGTGTCCTCCCTCAGCCCCTCTGGAAATTGTGTGGTGTGTGGTGGCTATGATGACTACCCTCCCTGTCCCCTCCTGGTCATCTCTTGTAGACCCTGCCTTCACCCTCAGGCCTCTTGTGTGCCTGCTAGGTTCTGGTGAGCTTTCAGGGACAGACAAAAGTGACAGGATTGTGTGTCACCCCCCCCCCCACACACACACACATACTCTGCTCACTCCAGCCCCCACCAGCCATAGGCAGGTGGTGACCACAGGTTTCCCACAGCACCTCACGGAGGACTGGAAAGCTGGTCCCAGGTTGACCTCAGGTGGGGGGGTGACAGTCGTCAGGGCATGCTCTGGTTCCCGCTGCTCAGGACAAGGAACCTGGCTGTACCTCCTCTTGGGTGTCAGGGAAGTTTTGGAGGTGGGAGCTGGCCACAAGGGTCTCAGGAGGAGCAGTGGATGCGGGGGCTGTGACCCATCGGTCTGGGCATGGGTATCTCTTGTGAAAAGGCAAAACCCCTCACTCCCTTCCCAAGAAGGGCTACCCTGGGCCCAGAACCTCAGCATGCCCCCTAACCTGGCACAAACCCCCACGGGCAAACCTAGGAATGAGACAGACACCTCCTAGACATTGGCTATGGAGGCTGGAGATGGGTCCTTCTGGGGGCCACAACCACCTCAGGACGCTGTGTCCCTCTCATAGGTGGTGGCGCTAGGAGTCTCCTGCTTGGTCTGAATTAAGGTCTGCTCATCTCCAAGTCTTCACACACACACACACACACACACCCAACCCTGCCTCAGTTTCCACTCTGGGAACAGGGAGGACGAAGTGAGAGCCATCGGCCTGGAGGGGCTGAGGCCCATCCTCACATCAGCATTGTAGTCACCCCTGCTTTGTCATCCTCATCCTTACCCTTGCCCATCCCCGCCCTGAGGCTGCCAGAGGAGGAGGTGGAGGAGAAGGCCAGACTGCCAAAGGCTCACATGTCTTTCCCTCTCTGTTTTCTCCCCTCAAAAAATCTGCTGCCTGCGGGGACTGTGGTGTGCAGGAAAATGTCCCAGTCCACCCCGCCTGATGGAACCACATTCGAGAACCTCTGGAGCTCTTTGTGAGTATTTCCCTCCACCTGGGCTGGACCATGGGCTAGTCTTAGCTACCCCTGCTGGGCTAAGAAAAGGAGGCCCTGAGCTAAGCTAGCTAGCTTCGGCTGGCTTCCTCGGGCTGCCTTAGGGGTATAGGCAAGGTGGGCTGCTCCCTTGAACCTTCTTCTGTGGACACAGGGTCTAGAATCTGACTCTGCTGACCACCTTACTAGAGAGCTCAGAGTGGGAGCATTTTGGGGCCAGTGTCCATGTATAGCCATGCCTGCCTGGGCTCTCTCAGCTCTGGAGAACAGGGCAGAGAGGAGGTTGGAGGAGGGGGAACTGAGGGTCAGCAAAAAGGAGCCTGTTGGGGAAAGGAGATGTGAGCCCCCAAAGAAGCCATGGGCTGGCCTCGTCCTGGGCCTGAGTGGTAGGGATTACACCTTCTCTGGGGCTGACATTTCTGTCCCTTCATCTCGGCCAGGGAGCCCGACAGCACCTACTTTGACCTTCCACAATCGAGCAGGGAGAACAACGAGGTGGTGGACGGTGCAGAGGCCAGCATGGACGTCTTCCACCTGCAGGGCATGACCATGTCTGTCATGGTGAGTGTGGCTGCCCTCGGTGATGATTTGGGCTAGGGACTGTGAATACGGACTCCCCTGTTGTGGGATCCTGACAGAGTCAGGAAGTGGGGCTCTCAATGTGCAGCTGTGTCTACTGTTGCTATCAGGGGCCGTCCAAGCAGTTCCGTCTGATTCATTGTGACCCCAAACACTGCCCAATCCTGCGCCATCCTCACAGTTGCTGTGTTTGAGCCCATTGTGGCTGCCACTGTGTGGATTCATCTCACTGGCGAGCCTCCTCTGATTCTCTGACCCTCTACTTAAAAAAAACACCACATCTTTTTACAGGGACTGGTCCCTTCTGATCACATGACCAAAGTATGTGAGACAAACTCTTATCATCTTCACTTCTAAGGAGCATTTTGACTGCACTTCTTCCAATCCAGATTTGTTTGTTCTTCTGACAGTCTGATACTTTCAATCTTCTTCACCAACACCTTAATTCAAATGCATCCATTTTCTCCAGTCTTCCTTATTCATTGTCCAGCTTTCACATGCATATGAGGTGATGGAAAATACCATGGCTTGGGTCAGATGGATCTTAGTTCTTAAAGTGACATCTTTACTCTTTAACTCTTCAAAGAGGTCTTTTGTAGCAGATTTACCCAATGTACTGCGTCTTTTGATTTCTTGACTGTTGCGTCCATGAGCATTGATTGTGGGTCTGTTAGTACTTTTCAAATTGCAAAGTAGAAAATGTGTTGGCTCATATGACTGTCAGTTTAGGGGTAGGCATTTCTTCAGATTTGGCTGGATTTGTGATTATTGACATGGCTGGATCTGGGTGCTCAAACAGCTGCCTTTCTCCATTTCTCTCTGCTTTCCCTCATGATGGCTTTGGTATTAGGTAATAGCATCTCCCCTTGTAGTGAAGGGTACCAGACTCAACTGCATCCCCATCTCCATGGAAAGAAGACCTCCTTTTAGCTATAGCCTAGCAGACCTCCTCTCATTGGTCAGAATTTGGACATGTGCTCATCTGAGTCATCCTTGTTCCTCGATTGTCTTGGGTCACATGATCCCCAGCACCCTTGAATTAGGGTAGGATGGAGCAGAGCTGGCTTCCTTGTCTCAGGGGCTGAGAGGTGGGGAAGCGGGGTGGGCCCTGAAGAAACCTGGAGGTGCTGCTTCTAGAGCAAAGTTGAGGCCCTGACACCCCATCCTGATGGGTTCCCCATCCTCCTGGAAGGAGTGAGAGAAGGGCTTTTTCCTACCAAGCTGGGTTTCCTCTGGACAAGGATTCTGGGCAGTGGAGAAGTGGGCGTCATGGCAGAGGCGGGAGGCCATGGAGGACAGCACACAGGAAGAGGGGGGAGGACCTCAGATGGGGACCTGTCAAGGGGACAAGGGATAGCAAATTCCATACTTAACAGAGGCCTTTGGGAACTGAGGGCAGGATGGAGGAGGCCCCTGGACAGTGGCTGTCTGGCCTTCTCACCTAAGTGTGTTTCCAGGCAGGGCTGTGCCTCGAGTTTACACCAGCACCAGGCTCGGGCCAGAAGGGGCTGAGAACTCTCCCCAAAGCCCCCATTCCAGAGCTTGAGACCCTCACTCACCTCAGCACACTCTTATCCCAGGTGTTCAGGCAGATGACTCAGCCACTTTGGGCATCTGGTGGCTAATGAGGGACATGGGGTTTCCGGTCAGAGTGAAGCAGGAAGGATGGGAGAGAGGGTCCCTGGCATGGCTCTAACCTGAGGTCAGAGGACTTACCTTCTGCAGAAGTGGTAGCTGGGGTGGGTCGGACCCTCACATGGGGCCCATGACATACGTCCTAGCTCAGCTCCTGTCAGAACTGGCCAGGCATCCGTGGCCTCAACTCAGGAGAGGAGGTCCCTGCATGGCTGTGCCTCCACTCCCTGACAGACCAGCAGAGGCAGACGCTGGGCCTGGGGTGGACTCTGGTCTGTGGAGTTCCAGAGAAGAAGGTGGAAACTGTGCCCTTCCAGAACCTTCCCTCTGTTGCCTTCTACTCCTTACCTTCCAGACCTCCCTAGTTACATCAGTGTTACCTCTGTGGTCACCAGGCTTGGCAGGGAGGACAGGTCAGATGGGTGTCTGTCAGGTTCTGGAAGCTGCTTCCCCCTCCTTGGAGAGACCCCCTGATCCAGCATTGGGAGGGGGCCGTGGCTCAGGGAAGCAGAGACACTTCTAATCTCCTGTGAGGTGCCTGAGCCAGGGGGGCAGGCGTGCCTGGGCCTGGGTGTTCCATACCCTCTCACCTGCTGGGACTTGCTGCCCACCTACTAGGTGGTAGCAAGGGTGAGGCGTCGCACCTTTGTGAATAACAAGGCAGCTGACCTGTCAGGTAGCGGCACACCTTATAGTAAAAGTCATTGTGAAATACCTGTGTGTAGAGCTCATTCTCCCAGGTGGGAATTCCCTGGAACCATGGCTGGCCTGTGTGAGAAGAGCCAGGCTTCTAGCTGCCCACCTTCCAACCCCAGCCGCTATCTCATGAGAGCATCAGTCTCATCTGGCTGAGACTGGCATCTCATAAGGGTCTTGACGTACCAACCCCTGACCCTCCAAGTGACCGCTGTCTTCTACCAGCTCTGGTGTGGGGCTTGTGGTTCTGGACGACTCAGGCTCCACTGCCCTGCAGATTGACCTCATGCTCACTGAGGTCCTGTCCACCCTGGGTCTCCAGGGACTTGGGAGCCTTGGCTGGATTGAACTGGGGGGCATTGTAAAGTACAACCCAGGAGGTGGGAGGGAAAATCACTTTCAATATGATGCCTGGAGAGGAAGCTGTGTTGCTAAGGGCAGAGCAGGGCCCGTCCCAGCCTGGGGCTGACCCTGGGGGCCTCCTGAGCAGCCATCCGGAGTGCCTCCCTCCCATGCCCCCAAAACTCCCCAGCCCACTCACAGTTTACACGTGTCATGGAGGCAGAACTCACTGGGACCCCTCCTCCATGTTTACATCAAACAAGAGACGCTGTTCATGCCAACCAGCCCTACAGCCTGGTTAGGACCAGGATCCCTTTGACACGGACTCCCCCACCTCCTCTTTGCTCTTCCAGTAGTCACCCACATGCTTGCTGGCTCTTCACAGAGGGACACCTCGCCCTTCACTGCTCTGGGACCATCCTCAGCCCACATATCAGGATCTGTCTAGCCAAGGGAATATAGCTCCAAAAGGCACTGTCCTGAGGGGTGTGGCAGAGGCCCTAAGAACACTGGAAGATAGGCTCTGCTGGTGGTGGTTGCATGCCGTTGAGTCGGTTCCAACTCATAGTGACCCTATATGGGGTTTCTGAGACTGTAAATCTTTACGAGAGCAGAAAACTTCATTTTTCTTCCGTGGAGCAGCTGGTAGATTTGAACCGCTGACCTTGCAGTTAGCAGCCCAGCGTATAACCCACTCCACTACCTGGCAGACGGGCAGGTCCATCCAAATGTGTCTTGTGAGTTTCTGAGCCGCTTCTCTAGTATAGTGAGAGATGAGCCATTGAGATTGGAGTGGGACAGGACAGGGTGTGGGAGCTCCAGCTGTGAGACCCTGCACATCTGAACCTTAGAGACCTTGCTGTGAAGTTGAGGTCATGGGGGTGTGAGCCACAAACAGCCAGCACGGCAGGGACCACACAGACATATGGGATAGCCATTGGACCCTGGGTTCCCACACTGTCCTGGATCTCACTAAAGAAGCTGTGATCTGCTGTTAAAGACAAGGAAGGGGACATGGTCAGCAGCAGTTGGCCCTGAGGTTGCTTCGACCAGTGCTTCACTCACCATGTGGCTGAAGTCATCTCCAGTCAGTAGCCCCGGGCATAGTGCCTCAAAGGCCAGATTCCACCTTTTCTTAACTTTTCACCCTGGACGTGTTACTTAGCCTTTGTGGCCTCAGTTTGCTCATCTGTGAAATAGGGCTAGTGAGCAACTCTGTCACTACTGTTGGGAGGACTACAGTAGTAGCAGCTGACACATAGCGAGTGCGTGACAAATGCTAGGTGTGATGGTGAGGGCAAGCAGAGGCCTTCAATACAAGAAAACTGTTTCCTAGGCAGACCCAGAACAGAGACCCCCAAGAGGGGGACAGCTCCCACAGCCCCAAACCAGAGCCCCTTCCCATCTGAATGTCCCTGTGGGTGCAATTCCCCCCTTCAGTGGTGGTCTTCAGTTCTGACGATTCCAGCAGACCCCATTGTCTCTCCCCAACACAGAAAACAACAAACAAATGAAAATCAAGCCGTTGTGCATCGGAATAGAGCTAAGCTCCATATGTCTGTTTGTTTATTAATTGTCTGGTACCATTTCTCTGAAATGCTCAGAAAAGGCAGTCCACAGGAAGAGGGAATGAGAAGTGAGTTACTGAGTAGGAATAGGGTTTTATTATGGGGTGATTAATGTGAGTTGGAAGTAGACACAAGTGTTGGATGGTCAACATGATGAATCTCCCGTAAGGTTTTCAGTGGTCGATGATGCCAAAGTAGACTGCCAGACCTTTCTTCCAAGGAACCTCTGAGTGGGTTAAAACCGCCAACCTTCCTATTAGCAATGAGTGCATTCACCTCCTTCCCCGCCACCAGGCACAGGACTCTCCCTTTCACATGGGTGCCCCAGCTGTAGGGAGAGAGGGAGCAGTCTGCTGGTCCCTGTGAGCTTGGGAGGTGGGATAGGTTCACTGAGAAGACCAAGAGGAAGAACTGATTCCTGCCTGCCTGGGGCCCTGTCGTGCTGCCGTGATGAAGCTGGGAAGCTGCCGGGTGGGTTTCAGATACCCTCAGGGATTGGGGCGGAGAAGACCCCCATCGGGTAGCGTACATGGTGGACCGAGGGAGTGGTGGCAGCAGGACCTTGCAGACAGAAGTCCTGGTTCTAGCCCCCACTTTCCCTCCCTTTCCCCTCTGGAGTCTTTTGTCCCTTGGACAAAATGTGGGCTGAAACACTCCCTCCACAGACGGAGAAAAGAGAGTGCTGCTTTGGGATCTCCTCTCCGCCCTGTGCCCTCCTCCCCAGTCTCTGTCCCATCTCAG